AAACGAATGCAAGCGAGAAAAAGCTGGTGTTTTGTATTTTCGAGCTTTTCATTGTCCAGTGATGTCGAAGTATGCTTTGTATTCCTATTCCTACAGGTCCGTTGCGACGCTAAAAGGGTGCACAAATGCGCTCAGTATCAGTTACCGTAATTGTCATATATTTATATCCAGAGATTTCGGTCGCTTGACACTCCACGAGAAAATATAAACGTTTTTATTTTGTTTTTAGCACTAAGCAACATGGTACACGCAAACAAGAACAGACCTCCAAATATACGATTATTCTATACTTGCTCACATTAAAATCTAACGATCGTCATCTAAGCTGCGTGCGTTTCGCGACGAGAGAGAACGTTTGAAGAGCTAAAGCTAACAAATCGTGCTAGGCATAGATGGAATACAGTTCTTACGTGCCACGTACTCTGGCAAACGAGTACGCGCGGACACATTATCACAGTAGAGGGGAGACAAGTGGCAATTTGGTCAAATTGCCCAAACACTCAACAGATTGGGAGTCTGAAGCGCAGAGCTCCTCCCATGCCGTTGCGACTACAATAGCATACCGCCTGCAACAGCTTCACTGCAGCTATAAAATTCTGTAAACCGAAACTTGATGTTGCTACTCCATATTTGCACCAGAGGGCATTAACAACAAGCGTTGTTAGATCGATAAAGCCTTAAGGGGTGCCGCAGACGTGCCAGGGACCATCATGTGGTGCAAGCCTTCAAGGCAAGAGACCAATTTGCCATTATGAACGTAATGTTCTGACCCATTGTAGTGATCAGAATCGTCCATAAAGAAAAGAAAAATACCCAGGACAGTGGAAAAAAGAAGCAGGAACGAGTACGACCATTGGGATGTGACTTTGGGTAACACAGAAATTCATACTATTATTTTATTTTTTGTAAACAACACGAGCAATATACGGCAGCTGACAATTTGTTTTTTTCGCAATCTAGATCTGGTGGTCGGGCGTCGACACAATCGAGTTATTTTGTCCACGTCCGATTCAAAGCCATTCAATACCGGTAAAAAGAGCATAAAGAAAGTCTTTCGTGTAGCTCTAGTACACAGAATATATGAATATTATCCTGAAACTCCGAATCAGTATCGAGTAGCAACGATGCATTTTGGTGGCGCTGCTGTCGCGACCTGTCAGTATCAGATCGCACATCCTGAAATCGTATCAAATTCACTTAAATATTTGATATATATATATATATATATACATATGTATTCAATTTGGCCGCTCGTATTTCTCTAGACTTTCGAGGCCAACAACAAACGATAGTCGATCACACTTGGAAAAAGGTTTTTCCGGTGAACCTTACCAAGTTAAGCGCCAACTCGCACCGAATTTACAGGAGCGCATTTGCGGCCTTAACCTGCTAACGCACAGACTGTTTGTAAGAATATAGCATAAGGTAGCAATTTTTTTGCTTCGTCAGAGGCCAATACAGTCGTAGAATGACCAATTTACATCCATAAGCTGGCGAAAAGATCAACTGTCACTGATACTGAACGGATACCAAAATGTTGGAACATTTCTGGAGTGACAATAGGCGGACTACTAGGATTAAATAAGGTATCTACGCAAACGTACCTATAGAATGTATTTCCGTGTATAAAACTGTCTATTGGGTACTAAAATATGTGAAGAGGCCTTTGTAATTTGAACAAAAGGCACTAGGTGTCAACCTCTACATATCTCTACAACTGAATCAGCTCCGATACAAGCGAGTCACTTATGAACTACTATAGTGATTCATGATATCGTAGTGTACACACCGCTAATAAATAAATAAATAAATAAAAACTATTTATTAGTTAGAACAAGCTTGTCTATAATCGTAGGGTAATCTAACCCATTATGAGCACTGGACAAAACAGAATCATGTGTTCCAACCTCCTGAAGAGAACAAATTCCTGTTACTAAAATCATCGTAAATCTGCAATAACGGTAGCGTTCGCCTCGAAACAATAAACATAGGTCAGATTAAGTCGTAACGGGCGATTGAAGAAGTAAGCCCACCATGCAACCCGGCCGCTGATTTAACTAGCCTCATTTATAGAATGGGACGAATAAAATAAAGCAGCCGTTGACCAAATACATCACGCCAATGCGTTTTAATAATGCCTCTAGTTGGCCGCAGTGTAACGAGAAAGCCGATAACCCTTTTCGCACGCTTTGCATGTCAGACAGATATCAAACAGCACAGTTTTTACAGTATAACTAAACTAGACCTACTAATCAAGCCTTTAGTTCGCTACCTACTACATGTAGGTTAACCTGGAGTCGAAGGTTCAAATGATATTTCAAACTTCGACTCTCCTGACCTGACTCGATCGTCGTGCACTGATTGACAGCATACTTACCCCAGTGACTAGCGATTTCTTCAAAAAACTAAAACGTGAATTATTTTTTGAAGTACTTGAGTTACGTAGCTAGATACGATGTGTAGTTCTGTATTATCATAAACATGCTTTTATAGAAATGCATACTTACCGTTTTACTGCACAGGAGACAAGGCAAATTTGATTCACTCCTGGCGGATTTTCACTCAGCTCTAATAAACTAAAGATTAAGCGACTGCCGATAGTAGCAACATGAGGATTCGAGAGTACTACTGAATTAGTAGTAGCATTATCACTGCGGAATGTACTTACCTTCGTCCTCTGAAGGCGCTTCTTTCTCGTCTCGGTCGTACCCGTCCAGATACTTCAGCGAAGGCAGTAGCGCAAACATTTTCTCTCGATAGCCGTCAACCGATGTAACGCCACAGTTGAACAAGTCGAGGACACGCAGCTCCTTGAGTGCGGCTAGGGGCTCAAGTGTGTCGATCTCCTGTATTTTATTGTTCGACAGCGTCAGATGTGTCAACCGAGGTGAGCCATGTAATACGTTAAAGCCGCCCGAGATTCTGTTGTCGGACAGCTCGAGCTTCTCGAGACGGGGCAGACTTGGAAAGCCTTTCAGTGACGTCAAGCCAACGCTGTTTAAGCTAAGGGTGCGCAGATTGCAAAAGTCTTCACTTAATCCAACAATTGTCGTCGACCGAGAGTTGTCAAGATTCAGGTCCGTTACCTTGTCGGCGGTACGGCCTCTCTTCTCAAGCTCAAGGCGTTTCTCCATCGCGTTACTGTTGTGTGTGACGTCAAAGTTTCGGTCTTCGATGACCGAACGGCACCGAGGTAACGATGAACAGTTGAGATCACTCCAGAGTGCTCACTTATGACGAAGAGATTCAGTGCTGTTAAATATCGGTGCAATAGTTTTTCCTCCTGGTTCGCTCGTAACGATCCAAACCGGTTCACACAGACAGCACTCTCTATGGCGGCGTTGGCGGGCCCGCAAATCAGCGGGCTAGTCCCATACACACAGCCACTAGCAGAGGATGTACTGCTTCGTCGCCTGCCGTGCTTTAGCACAGCTCGCTTACAGGGCCAAGGCGGTTGTGTGTTATGTTTTGACTCGATATATGTACACTGGTGTAATCGTTTGTTGTTGTTACCGATACCACGCTAAGTAAGCGTCGAACACGCAACGACTAAGCTAGACTTAGTCTATAATAAAATTATAATAGTATACTCGATGCCGACGAGTTCGGAACCTTGAAGGCCTCCAGTCGCACACGTCTGTCTTGCAAAAACGTTCGTTTCCCTTCACGACAAACTATCAGGCACCCTCATCGATCAGTCGGCCGGTTAGTGCGCGTAACAAACATGTAACGGCCGCCACGACACCTCGTCAAATAATAGGCACAAAAAGGCACAGTTTTCGTTCAGTAGCAGGAGCAACGTGATACGTGGTCAGATTGTGTTTGCTTTTGCATTCGCGCGGCGAAACACTTCTGCAAAAATAACAGCATGGGGGAAGTGGGGGACGCCCGAGGGTTGTACCGGTGGTGTTTTGGTACAGATAAGTTCGCTGTTTGTTGCCGACCCGTTCACGTATCGCCACTTAGATGATACACGAGGGCGGACTTGTGAACAGGAGTGGATTCGTGCTTAACGGTGATAATGGGCGACGGCGGGGAAGGCAAAGTGCCGATTCGTTGCTTACTGTAATCGTAACACACTCACGCACACACAGAGTGGTCACAAAGAGAGGGGGGTCAGAGAGAGAGAGAGAGAGAGAGAGAGAGAGAGAGCGAACTCACTGCACGCAGACGACACAGTCGTGCCGCACGCACATTGACGGACGGAAGGTGTCACTGTTACGCGGTCGTAACGGACGGCGCTACACGAAACGTAGACGCTGAAATAGCGCCGGCCGCTACAACAACCGGGATTAAGAGGCAAAACTGGCTGTTTGATCAGAATCGCTAGTGGACTACCAGTAATCTTATGTACTATCCCCCTTGTGATCCAATTTGTCAGTGTTTACGGTCGAATGACGATGCACACGGCAACCAATGTCAAATAGCAGCAGTATTAGTAAAGGTAGTGACAGTTCTAGCTGTTGATCAGTCGATTCCTTTTTCCCAGACACTAGATAGTCGAGCAGTTGCTCGCTCACTTTTTATAGCTCGTCAGCAGTAGCGAGGCACATTTAAAGAAGAAGCTCGATTTTGTTGTTATTGATGTCGCTGCAGCAGCCACAGGCGTTGCTGTTGTTGTTGATATTGACGGGACAAACGGTGGCGCACAATAGCCACCACCTCGAACGTCGTCCGTAAGGAGATTTCGCGAGCGGGGTGCATTCGATACTTCCTCGATGCCGTCAATGAATAACCACGAATTTCACGTGCTTCTCACGACACTCGCCGCCAAATAAACGATTTGCCTAGTTATTCGTGCTATTGTTGAGTCTCAACTGTTTAGGAGGCTGCACCAATGATGGTCTTTGTTCGACCGGAAGCGTACGCAGTCTAAGTGCTAAGTTAGCTCGAGTTGACGTGGAACGCGTGCCACACGCGACGACGACGACGACGACGACGACAACAACAACAACAACGTTTCGTTTACTTTAAGGTCAAACAATCAGTTGCGGCCAGCGACACTTTTTCAGTTGGCTCGAGTCGATGATCTCTGTCAACACCAACAAGCAACAACTAGCCACCATTAATAAAAAAAATACGACAAAAATGATGAATTTTATTATATCTCTGTTCAGACCGTTCATTCATCCAGTAGCACTTTTTGCTTCTCGATCCATACAGGCCCGCGACTGCTGTCGTTGCCGGCAATTCAAATTTGATGGTACTTCAGTTAAGCAGCAGAAGTTAACGTAACAGTCATACTGCAGTCCGTTGTTGTTGTTGTTGTTGTTGTTGCTGCTGCTGCTGCTGCCAGTATTTTTTGAAGCAGTCGCTAAGTACAGACTACGTTACTAACAAACTCACTCACTACATGAACGAGGCAGTTGCCTTCTGACACCATACGCGTAACAAGGAGCAGCGGTATCGGTAGCTAAATGCACTTATCGTTAAAAGTCTTTTCGGCGCCCGTTCGGCTTTCGCTCGATCGCTGCCTGGCCACAGCTAGAGCCAGAGGCTGCTCATGCTGCCGCCGCTACTGATCGTCGTCGTTGCCGTTTCGGCTGCAGCCAGCAGAAGCTCAACACTCAACTTTCAGCGCCAACACTTACACGTACAAGATCAGCCTTAAGCCATAGCAGTCGTAGTTCAATAGTGGCAGGACCGAGACCACAGCGGCGGCTACGGCGGCCCCAGCACACGCAGACATAAACAGACAGACGGCCGCAACAGCCGCGCACAGTCACATTCACACACGCACACACACACACACACACACACGAGCACAGCAGAGACAAACTCATACATGCATATATACACACACGCACACACACCCATAGAAACACGCAGATACACACACACATACACGCCCGCACGCTCAGGCAGAGTCGGAGAGACAAGCAGGTAGGCAGCAAAGGCCGAATTTGTGTTTACGATTGTCGTGCTTATACTGTGTATTGGGTCTAGGAATCAACGATGGTTATGATCGCGTTTGCTGTTCAGTGCAGCATTTAATACCTTTTACTCTACCTTGTTCTCTTTTTTATTCGATTGGGCAGTAGGCGACTGCCGCTGTTTATCGCTAGCAGACGACACGGCTAGATATTTGGAGTTTTATGTCCAGTGCCGCGGTTAGGCATTCCATTGGATGCCTATCTACCAGCATAAAACGAGGTGTGTCGATGCTAGGATTCGAACCCAGACCACCACGTGTCCCTTAATTTTAGCAGGCAAACACATTATCCGCTGCGCCACTAGCGGGAAAAGACGACATTCCTCCAGGGGTCACAAGCATACAGTCGCACTCTAGCGAGAATAATACAGCTATATACGTAGACATACATACAAATGAAAAGCAGACAACACGAACAACAACAACTGTTCCTGCCTTGGTGCTACTGGCGCGTGCAGCCGGCGCGGAGCCATACTTTACTACCACTATTACAACAACAGCAGCAGCAGCAGCAGCAGCTGTAGTACAAGGAGTAGCAACTGTGGCTCGTATCGAGACACTGTGGCAGAATCTTGGCAGCCGCAGAGCGCGCCGTAGCAGACGCCATGCGTGCAGAAATCTAGTACCTGAAAAGTAAAAGCGGATCTATTTAGAAAGGATGATGGTCTATTTTTCGGTGTTCGGGGAAGTTCACTGGCGCTAAATACTGTGATTTACAGCTACGGTCAAATGTCGTGCTAGTCGTGGATTGTCTCAAGAGAGCGAGGGAGAGAGAGAAATGAATGCATTCTACGACATCATCATCTTCGACATGAAAGACCCTATAAATGCATTCTATTGACAATAGAGACGACAGGCGATGGTTCGTTATGTTAAATAGAAATGTGGTGCAATGGATTTATAGAACACGGTCAAGCCTTGTGAAAGAACCTCTCACACAATCTAAAATCTTAGTATGAAGACTTTGAAACGAATGAAAACGAGACGACAGAGAAATTGTTCAAGCGAAGTGTCTAATATAGGGTAGAGAAATTATATTAAGGTACCGAGGCGTGCACTTTGAAATTATTGGGTTACGAAAGTGCCCAAATCCAAGGCTGTGCTCTCTACGGTCGGAAAGGCTAAATCACTTTATTTTTAATAGCATTTTATCTTTTTTTTTATGTGAAGACTCTTGAATTGTAATTCCTCTAGCTACTCATAGACTGAATGAGTATGTTAGTATAAAAATTGCTATTTTTCCGAGCAAAATGTCGTGTGACGATTTTCCTAGCCCCCCTCATCTGTTTCCCCTGAATATATCCAGTAGATGTGTTGGGCTAGTCAAAGAGTCGCACAAATTAGGTCTGGCGGGTGCGTAGCTTGAAATGACAACAACTCATGCTACAGTTTTATCTATACGCCATCTAAGTGATGTTATGCTTGCCATCGCGGCCATTCTAGATAGATAGATTGCGCAGAGTATGCTGTGAGCGTAAACTTTCGCAGAATTTACTTATTGTATGTACACGAAATGGCATCTCTCATGTCACGCAACCAGCAGGTTGGTTAATGTATAGGGCTGTTAAATGTACATAAATATAGTATTTTTACTTGAAGTTATACTAAAGGAAGTAAGGGCCTCTATAGCAGATACCGTAAAACATGAAAAACCTAATCCTTATGATGAACAATTGTTGGGAAATAATATGTTGCGCCAATAAAAATCCCCGTCTCTATTTAATAGATTTCTTAACGATTTGATTCCGAGTCAGTACTTGAATGGGACTACAGGATGATGAATTGACCGAAACTTGCATCGAAAGAAAGCGCTTGTATTTAATTTGTAGAAAAAAAAAACAAGTTACTATTCAAAGTTAAATTAGCTTGTTGTGTACAGCTCAGAACCAGTACGATTACACAAGTTTTTGTAAATTCAATCAGCCCCCTTTTTCTACCTTTTTGTATTTTTATTATGTACTTTGTATCTACATCGCATCTTTTTCTCATAGTAACTTGGGTTACTAATCAATGTAATTGAGGTACTATGATGTATCGTTCGTCGTTGACCCTCGAAGTCGTATCATAAAAATGCAGCGATAAACGCAGCAAACTGTTGATATATACCACGTATGACGCATGTTCCAGATAAAGTTTGAATCGAATATTTACCAAGAAGAGTGTGCGTCTAACGTACACTTCTAGTACCTATAAAGTAAAGCATAATACAGTATGCTAGGGTTAAAGATGAATGAAATGCTTTGTACTGCGAGTGCGAACATCCGATATTGGTACTAGTGGAGAAAACTTCATTTCAAGGACGATATAAATAAACTTACAGTCATTGCGGAAAAAAGAGCATCTTATTTGCAATTCGAACGGAGATTACTAATTATCCAATCCCTTTGCGCTGTATGAAGCGTCAGTGAGGTAGTAAGCCTTTTATGATACTTTTGCCAAAGGAAAGTTTGTCGTCTGGCCTGTATGCTGTCAGGTGACTGTGGGTGGACAAAACGTACAAAACAAGCTAGATATGTCCCAGCAAGATGGTGTACCAGTTCGCGCAAGACTGGATGCTTGATAATCGCATACGGCCGCTTCACAGTCTAGATTTTAACTCGTTGGATTACTACGAATGAAGCTTGACTGGTCGAGAGCCTAAAAGGCCTCGACATGACATCGACGACTTGTTCGTTTGTGCTAACTTTGTAATTTGGACAATTATAAAGCGAAATAGCGACATTTCTGTTTGTCTGCTAACATTTGTCGCTAAATATGCAATAAATGCCGATATTTAGCCTACAGATTTGTAAAAAAATGAAAATTTAAAATGAACGTATGCCAGACACTGATTAGCACTGAGGTAAAAAAGAGCGCGTCTTTTCACGTCGACGATAATAGGGGTCTCGCTGTCTTAATAATGCTTTACAGGTACTAATAATAAAAGTATGATGGTTTGACACGCCCGTGTACAATGCAAGGTAACATGGATAATGAGTAAATATAAAAATAGAACTTACTTCGTCAAAATTCAAATTATGAAACACGTACTATAAATGCGGACTCAAGGACAATAATTACATATGTAGCATTTTACCCTGACTAGAATGTTTTGCGGTGATTCGCCACGAGCGAAAAATTAAAATCAATAGAAGTTCACAGCAGCAGCAGCGGCTACCTTACTGGGTTTCAATCACTCATGAAAGCACTCCTGTTGTGGATCAGTTGAGGAATCGCTATTGGTCCTAGCTAAACAAATAATAACGTTTACAATAGCTTAACAAGTTCAACTGACCGGGAGCATACGTTGAGACGATTCGAACTGCTATACAGTATAGGCCAGTTTTCTTCATTTACGTTTTCCATTACGTTAAAGTAAGGTACGTCATCTTGGCCTATCGCCGGTCAGGCGAACGTGCATTAGGTAGGTTACACAACTAGAATACGTTTGGTTACTTGTTATTTGTCACGATACAGGAGCCAGGGAGGTGCGAGAATTAGAAGATTCTGTACGAAACCGTTGCTTCGGTTATGCGCAAGTCTCAAATCATGTTGATTTCACCATCCGTCGTGTAGTATGAGGACCACCGAATTTTACTTTTCATTTATTTTGAGTGTATATGCTGGATTAAAAAATTATCCCAATACCTAACACTGATCATTTGCTGCTGCATAGTCATGCAGCAGCTGAATAGCCGGAGAATACATTTTCTCATAAAGAGATCTGAAATTGGTTTAAATTAGGCAGCACTATGTTCTCTATACACGGATTTTGTTGTCGATATGGTTTAGAAGCGACCGCTGGTTTCCGTTGCCTTTAAGATGGTCCTTATTGAATAATTGTCTGATGTTGGTCTCTATTCTGAGAGAATATTCTCTCTATCTTTTCCTGATTACCTGCTTATACTGCTGAAGAATGGGTAGCTTGTTCCGGCTGTTCGTGCTGTAAACCTTAGTCTATGGTCACAAGAGTTTGACAAATTATTTGTCGAGTTAATACATCCGCGACTTGAACGTTTTAGTTGTTGTTATTATTATGTTACCACGAGACGTTTAAAGGCATCTTTACTCGAAAGCCACTGGTTGAGATGCGATAATCAATTGTTCCATCTTTTAACTTTAAGGTAAAAATATTGGCATGATTTTTGTCTAAAGTTTCTGTGACAAGGATCGTATCTTTCTCCTGCAGTGCCGCCTGCTCCGTGTTAACTTTAAACTTGATTTTAAGCACTATGACATAATCGCTTCGATAGATTCCGGGTAATTTGTATAAATATAAAGTAAATCTCTTTAGCAAAATTACAATGGTGGGGTAGTTATGAGATTAGAATTTCCATGTACGATTCAGGGATGACAGAAGACGGCAAAATGAAAACCCTTTACTTTAACTGTTCAATATTTTTTGAAAAAAGACATTCACATAAAAAGAGAGATAGAAGAGAGGTCCGGAGCGGCTCTCAAAACAATCTTTCTGCATGTAGAGATTCGAAAAGCTTTTGGTGGCCAGGGAATAATGGTGATGATGCACTTGACTCGCGATCGTTAATGTTAACCGGCCCAGTTTCTACATGAGAGCTACGACAGGATATCTTTAGGACTAGTTCGCCACATATCTCCCGCTCACATGGACCTTCTACCAGTGGCCTGGCTCAGCTGGTACGCAGTAGAGGATGTAACCTTTGTGTAACAAGGGAAGTGAAATAACAGAAGCAGAATGAATGCGCGCGTGAGATAGAAAGCCGAATGGACGGCGAAGGAAAGCCGACGAGACCTCCTTTAACATTTATTTATTTATTTATTCGCATATCTAGCCAAACAAAGAAATGGCTTTTCATTTCCTTCGTTTGATTTGACGGCTTGTTTCACGTG